TCTGATGTGGGAGTGGGTGGTGGTCACAGATCCTTCCAGTTTCCCAAAAGAATTTTAAGAGTCCTGTAAAGGGTTAAATATAGTTACACTGTCAGTAATAATAGTTGGTGACTTCAAAACCCCACTTTCATTAATAGAAAAAGTACAGAAGATCATCAAGGAAATAGAGGACTTGAAAAACAATATAAACCAATTGCACACAGTAGACACGAACAGAACTTTCCACTGATAAGAGCAGAACAAGCATTCTTCTAAAGAGCACATGAAATATTCTCCAGTATAGAGCGTATATTTAGTCATCAGTCTCAAGAAGACTGAAATCACACTAAGTATGTTCTCTGGACACACTGGAATAAAGTTAAAAATCAAGAACAGAAGGAAAACTAGAAAATTCACAAGTACATAGAAATTAAACTGCTCACTCTTAAAAAACCAATGAGTCAAAGAAGAAATCACAAGGGAATTAGAATGCATCTTGAATGAATGAAGATGAAAACACAACATGTCCAAATTTACTGGATGCAGCAAAAGCAGTGCTAAGAGCAAAATTTATAGCTATGAACACGTAAGTTAAAGAACAATCTCAGGCCAGGCGCGGTGGCTCATGCCTGTAATTTGAGAACTATGGGAAGCCAAGGCAGGCGGATTACCTGAGGCTGGGAGTTCGAGACCAGCCTGACCAACATGGAGAAACCCCGCCCCTACTGAAAATACAAAATTAGCTGGGTGTGGTGGTACATGCTTATAGTCCCAACCACTCGGGTGGCTGAGGCAAGAAAATCGCTTGATCTTGGGATGGGGAGGTTGTGGTGAGCAGAGATCGTGCCATTGCACTCTAGCCTGGGCAACAAGAGTGAAACTCCATCTCAAAAAAAAAAAAAAAAAAGAATCTCAAATTAATAACCTAATTTTATACTTTAAGGATCTAGAAAAATAAGAGCAAACTAAACCCAACACCAGTAGAAGAAAGGAAATAATAAAGACTAGATGGAAATAAATGAAATGGAAAATAGAAAAACAACAGAGAAAGTCAATGAAACCAAAAATAGGATTTTTGAAAAGAACAACAAAAATTGGCGAACCTTTAGAATAGCCAAGTGAAAAAAATAAGACTCGAATTATTCACCAGGAAGGAAAGTGAAGGCTGGGTGCAATGGTTCACATCTGTGATCCCAGCACTTTGGGAAGCTGAGTCAAGAGGATCACTAAAATGAAAAGACAGACTCTGATTCAGCAGGTCTGGGTCTGGTGGTGGGAGCCTGTTAGTATATTTCGAAGAAGCTCCGAGGCAAGGCTGCTGCTGCTGATCTGATGACCGCAGTGTGAGGCTGGGCACAGCGGCTCACACCTGTAATCCCAACACATGGGGAAGACAAGGAAGGAGGGTCTCTTGGGGCTAGAACTTTGGGAGGACAAGGCAGGAGGGTCTCTTGGGGCTAGAACTTCTTCTTTTTTTTTTTTTTTTTTTTTTTTTTTTTAGAGCTGAGGTCCTGCTATGTTGCCCAGCTGGACAACATTTTGTTAATACACTAAAAACCACCGAGCTGGTTTATGTGAGTTTGACTCAAATAAAATGATCAATCCGGAAATGTAGACTAAATGAGGTTGTTGTTTTGTTTTGTTTTGTTTTTTTGAGATGGAGTTTCCCTCTTGTCGCCCTGGAGGGACATACAGCATCTCTAAAAAAATAAGAGAGAAGGAGCCGGGCGCGGTGGCTCAAGCCTGTAATCACAGCACTTCGGGAGGCTGAGGCGGGTGGATCACGAGGTCAAGAGATCGAGACCATCCTGGTCAACATGGTGAAACCCCGTCTCTACTAAAAATACAAAAAACTAGCTGGGTGTGGTGGCGTGTGCCTGTAATCCCAGCTACTCAGGAGGCTGAGGCAGGAGAATTGCCTGAGCCCAGGAGGCGGAGGTTGCGGTGAGCCGAGATCGCGCCATTGCACTCCAGCCTGGGTAACAAGAGCGAAACTCCGTCTCAAAAAAAAAAAAAAAAAAAAAAGAGAGAAGGAAAAGGAAACAAAAAGACGTCAACTAGAGTAGGAAGCAGCTAGGCCACGCAGCTCTTCAACGGAGAAAAGTGTTTTCTTCTTGAGTAAATTTAAGTGTACCCATGTTCCTTGTCAATGACAGTAACTTTAAATGTCAAGAATGTGACAGAGGCCAGGCACGGTGGATCACACCTATAATCCCAGCACTTTGTGGGGCCGAGGTGGGAGGATTACTTGAGCTAAGGAATTCAAGACTACCCTGGGAAACAAAGTGCAACCCTGTCTCTACAAGTCCAAAAATTAGCTGAGCCTGGAGGCATTCGCCTGTGGTCCGAGCGACACAGGAGGCTGAGGCAGAAGGATTGCGTGAGCCCAGGAGGTCGAGGCTGCAGTGAGCTGAGTTTGCACCACTGCACTCACTCCAGCCTGGGCGACAGCATGACCCTGTCTCCAAAAAAAAATGTGAGATAACAGGGGAAGGTGTGGCCCTTGGGGTAGGGGTTGGGAGACTGGAGAGCAGCTGTTAGTGGTCCCATCGCTGCCCAGAGCAGACAGTGCCCTGTCCACCCTCATGAGCTCCTTGGACTCCTTGGACAGGACTGATGACACATGAAAATGTGGGGAGCCTTATTTTGAAATTGTTCAGAACGTCAAGATGGCAACACCAAAGCTTTAAACCGAGTGCACGACCCTTCCGAGTCGGAGGCCCACAAGGCCGACAGACTGCTGTTCACATCCTGGTATAGCCGCTCCTCTTGAGTGTAGCTGGGGCTGTGCTCTATTGCTTGGAAGCAAGGCTTATCCCTAAGCCTTATTTTCAGGGAGGTGGATTTGACAGCTATTATCCCACCTCCTTGCTTGGTGTCCCGTGAATAAACCTTTTCTCTTTGGCAAACTCGTGTCACGGTGATTAACTTACTGCGCATGGGCAGAACGGACCTGGTCCTGGCCAGTAACACCCGCAAGGCTTTCTGAGAGTCTGCACTGCCAAGGCAGCACTGAGCAATGGTTGGGAGCGATCTGTCTAAACGACTTTTCTCTTTTTTCCAGGCTGGGCACGGTTTCTCATGCCTGTAATCCCAGCACTTTGAGAGGCTGAGGCGGGCAGATCATTTGAGGCCAGGAGTTTAAGACTAGCCTGGCCAACATGATGAAACTCCATCTCTACTAAAAATACAAAAATTAGCTAAGCGTGCCTGAAATCCCAGCTACCTGGGTGGCTGAGGCACTAGAATTGCTTGAACCTGGGAGGCAGAAGTTGCAGTGAGCCGAGATTGTGCCACTGCACTCCAGCCTGGGTGACAGAAAGAAACTCAGTCTCAAAAAAAAAAAAAAATCTTTTTTTCTATAAATTAATAAAAGGAATACAGCCTCTTGTGAGCTGGTTTATGTGGGTTTGACTCAAAGAAAATGGTCAATCCTTAAATGTAGACCAAATTAGGTTTTTTTTTGTTTTTGTTTTTGTTTTTTGAGATGGAGTTTCCCTCTTGCCACCCAGGAGGGTGTGCAATGGAGCAATCCAGGCTCACTGCCACCTCTGACTACCATGTTCGAGTGATTCTCCTACCTAAACCTCCTGACTAGCTGGGATTGCAGGTGCAGGCCACCATGCCCAGCTAATTTTTGTATTGTTGGTAGAGACAAGTTTTCACCCTGTTGGCCAGTGTGGTCTTGAACTCCTGACCTCAGGAGATCCACCCACCTTTGCCTCCCAAACTGCTGTGATTACAGGCATGAGCCACCACTCCTAGCCCCAAATTAGGTTTTGAACTTGCAAGACAGACTGAGGCCTGCACCAGAATCCTGACAGCTCCTCCTTGGGTCTCTGATGTGAGTTATCCACAGGTGAGGAAAAGGCAGCCATTGCCTTCTCTGAGTGTCTAGTTCCTTTAAAAACTTTAACATGGAAATCTGAATTTCTCATCTTTCCTTAAATTTTTTTTCCAGTTAAAAATCGTTATTACCAGCAAGCTGTCATGGCTCCCATCTGTAATTCCAGCACTTCGAGAGGTGGTGGTGGGAGGATCACTTGAAGTCAAGAGTTTGAGACCAGCCTAGGCAACATAGTGACATCCTGTCTCTACAGGAAAAAAAAATGTTAAACTAGCTGGGCATGGTGGTGGGCATCTGTAGTCCCAGCTACTCAGGGAGGCTGAGGTAGGAGGATGGCTTGAGCACAGGAGTTGGAGGCTGTAGTCAGCTATGATCATACCACTGCATTCGACCCTGGGTGAGAGAGTGAGACCCTATCCAAATAAAATAAAATACTTATTACTTTCACTTTGCAGAAATGTTCCTTACTCTGTAGAAAACATTATGCTTTGGCTGACACACTTTCAGTGGGATTTGTTTTGGGAAACGACACGGACCCTGATACTATTTGACAGGCTCCACGGCAGGCCTTGGGGAGCTCCCTGGCAGCAAGGGGCCAGCCTGGGCTTACGGCTCAGCAGATGAATCCAGGCTGTGGACTTGCAAGGACTCTGGAGGGCTCTAGCTTCCTTATCATTTTAAAGATGATGGAGAACACAGGAGAAGGGACGAAATGAACCCAGGGAACGCGATGAATGGCACTGCGCTGGCCCGAGCAGCAAGACCAAGGCTGTCACATTCCAGAGAGTGCAACTGGAGTGAATCGAGTGGCCACAAAACACTGGACGTGAGCCCTGCGGCTTTGCCAGTAGCTTTGTCTCTGCAGTGTTGAGCCAAGAGTATGGACTTTGGAGCCAGATTTTCTGGGCCTATAATCGTTCAGACTCTGTCTCCTCCTCTGTAAAATGGGGACGGTGGGAAATTCTGACACACAGATGCACCTCGAAGACATAATGCTAAGTAAAATAAACCAGCCAGGCACAAAAGGGCTGGGACTGGGGCCTCTCTGCGCGTTCCCCTGATGTGGCAGAAGCCAGGCGGGCCCAGCCCTCGGACACGCCGCCCGTCTGCAATTGGACTAAAGGGGCTCAGGCGTCAGAGCTGCCCAATGGCGTGACCGCAGGGGCGTGGTCCAAGGTCAGAGACCTAAGTCTTGGCACTGGAGTTTGCAGACTCCCCGATAGGTTTCCAATCTGGTCGGTCGGTTTCCGCTATGGGCCTGGAGCTGTACCTAGACCTGCTGTCCCAGCCCTGCCGCGCCGTTTATATCTTCGCCAAGAAGAATGGCATCCCCTTCGAGCTGCGCACCGTGGATCTGATCAAAGGTAGGCCCGGCCTCGGGTTTGGGGAACTGAAAAGTCAGGAAGAGACAGGTAGGCATACAGTAGCTTAGGGAACTTCTCCTGGTGCCACCCTCTTCCTGGGGCCATTGCTGGTCTGGTTTGGAGACCGAACGGAGGAAGATGAGCCGCCAGGGAGATCCAAGCTTGGCCTCACGGAATGGACCACGGGGTTCCGTTGAGGCCGAATAAAGTGGTAGGGACCATAAAAAGAAGCGAGAGCAGAGGACAGAAACGGGCGCAGCTGGGTGCAGGGGCACGCGCCTGTCGTCCCTGCTACTTGGGAGGCTGGGTGGGTGGATCATTTGAGCCCAGGAGTTCCAGGCTGTAGTGCGCTATGATGGTGCCCTTCAGTAGCCATTGCACTCCAGTCAGGGCAATGTAGCAAGACCCCATCTTAAAAAACATTTTTAAACAAAATAAAAACGGGTGTGACCTGGGCCTAGGGAAAGGCGGGAGGAGAGAGGTTAAGGGTGCCAAGTGCACAGACTGGGACAGAGCCAAGTGCCTTCTTTGTGGCCCAGCTGCTGAGATTCTGCAACAGTAAACAGATGAGGCATTGCCCCAGGACCTGACTTTCCAGCCCTGCCCTCTGCACCCGCCCAGGCTGTACTGGGGTCCCTCTTTGTCCCTTCCTTCCTCTGCTCCTTCTGTTTTGCCTCTAATCTTGTCCTCTGCTTTTATTTTATTTTATTTTATTTTATTTTATTTGTTTATTTTTTATCTTTTATTTTTTTTGAGACGGAGTTTCACTCTTGTTACCCAGGCTGGAGTGCAATGGCGCGATCTCGGCTCACCGCAACCTCCGCCTCCCGGGCTCAGGCAATTCTCCTGCCTCAGCCTCCTAAGTAGCTGGGATTACAGGCACGCGCCACCATGCCCAGCTAGTTTTTTGTATTTTTTTAGTAGAGACGGGGTTTCACCATGTTGACCAGGATGGTCTCGATCTCTCGACCTCGTGATCCACCCGCCTCGGCCTCCCAAAGTGCTTGGGATTACAGGCTTGAGCCACCGCGCCCGGCTTTTTTTTTTTTTTTTTTTTTTTTTTTGGGACGGAGTCTCCCTCTTGCTCTATCATCACAGTGCAGTGGTGTGGATCTCGGCTCACTGCAAACTCCGCCTCCCGAATTCAAGTGATTCTCCTGCCTCAGTCTCCTGAGTAGCTGAGATTACAGGTGCGCGCCACCATGTCCGGTTAATTTTTTTGTATTTTTAATAGAGATGGGGTTTCATCATGTTGGTCAGGCTGGTCTCAAACTCCTGACCTCAAATAACTGCCCGCCTCAGCCTCACAAAGTGCTGAAATTACAGGCATGAGCCACCACGCCCAGCCCGAAGAGTTTTGTTTTTCTGCTTGTTTGCTGTGTTTGAGATGGAGTCTCGCTCTGTCACCCAGGCTGGAGCGCAGTGGTAGAATCGCGGCTCACTGCGTCCTCTGCCTCCCGAAACTTTGTCCTCTGCCTCGTTCCTGTTGGGGAGGTAGGTTGCCCCAGGAGATAGGCTGGGGGAAGAAGGGGGACCCTGGGGCTTGGCGAGCCCTACATCCTCTTTTGTTTCTCTGGCAGGCCTCCAAGCTCCTTGAGGGCTGAGCTGGCAGGCCCAGGCCCAGTGTGGGGTGGGGTAGTAGGAGGGGCTGGAAGCAGAACCCAGGTATGGCCGGGTGGGCAAGCAGGGCGACTCTACTTGGCTGACCCTTCTGCCCAGGGCTCCCACTCCACGGCTGGCCCTCCGCCTGAAACTTCTCCACCTAGCCTCTTCTGGAAACTGCCCACCTGTCCTGCACAAGGACTTCCTCTGCGGAGTGTGGGCAGCAGAAAGGGAATGCGGGATAAGAGGGTGTTCAAGCTGGTTGTCAAATGCAGTGGTGCAGAGGGACGCGTGTTTTACCGAGAGAGGGGAGGGTGTTCCTGGTGAAGAAACAGCCCGAAGGGAGGGCAAAGAGAGGCTAGCAGGCCTGGCGTGGTGGCTCACACCGATAATCCCAGCACTTTGGGATGCCGAGGTAGGAGGATCACTTGAGGCCAGTAGTTCAAGACCGGCCTGGGCGACATAGTGAAAGCCCATCCGTAAGGGAAAAAAAAGGTTGGGGCAGAGGGAGCGGTGGTAGCAGGTGCGGTTAAAGCTGAAGAGTTAAGGTGATTGTGTATAATTTTGAGGAGCTTTTATCTGATCATTGGCAATGGGGAGCCACTGAAGGCTATGGAGCAGGGCAGTGATGAGACTTAATGCTCTTAGAAGCTTCTCTCGGGCCAGGCACGGTGGCTCATGCCTGTAATCCCAGCACTTTGGGAGGCCGAGGCGGGTGGATCACTTGAGGTTAGGAGTTTCAGACCAGCCTTGCCAACATGGCGAAACCCCATCTCTAGTAAGAATACAAGAATCAGCAGGGTGTGGTGGCGCGTGCCTCTAATCCCAGCTACTCAGGAGGCTGAGGCCGGAGAATTACTTGAACCCTGGAAGCGAAGGTTGTAGTGAGCCGAGATTGTGCCACTGCATTCCAGCCTGAGCAACAGATTGAGACTCTGTCTTAAAAAAAAAAAAAAGCTTCTCTCTGGCTGCATGTGCAGCAGAAAACCACTCAGACAAGCTCAGGCAGAGGCCAGGTGCCCAGGGGACACTGGCCTGTACTTTTCAGGGGCTGCAGATGGGTTGAGAAATCTGTCCCAGCTTTGGCAGAGCTTAAAGTCACAGCTCCACAGTGCCCAGGGCAGGGCGAAGCAAGGGACTAGCGGGGCCAGTAGAAGTTGCTTCCAAGTAAGTAGATACCAGAAAAGGCCACTTCTCTGGGTGCAAGGGACATGGTAGTAAGTCAGAGTCCCCTCAGGTGACCTACCCTGCAGCTTGGGGCACTCTGAATGTGAGTTCATGAAGCTGGCAGCCCTGGAAAGAGGAGGTGGGCAGGGTGTGTGCAAAGGTCCAGGCACCACACTGCATGGTGAGCTCTGTCGCAGAGGGACAGGCTGTGGGAGGAGGCTGTGCCTGCCGGACTTGGCAAGGGGTGTTGTCTACTTTGTACCAGCTGGTGGAGCGGTCTTCTCCTCCCACAGGGGCCCTTCCAGTCTGCCATCCAAGAGTGCAGACTGATGGGACGAAGAGCTGTGAAACTGGGTTCTTAGCATTGCAGGGAGGGGCACAGGCCATGGAGGGCTCAGCATTCTCCTCCCACCACCTACCATGCTGGACTCTTCCAGGTCAGAACCTCAGCGATGCCTTTGCCCGGGTGAATCCCCTGAAGAAGGTGCCAGCCTTGAAGGACGGGGACTTCACCTTGAGCGAGAGGTAACTGGGAGCCTGGCGCTGCTGCCAGCCTGCTGGACCCATCCTGTCCTAACCCTCTATTTCATAGACAAGGAAACTGAAGTCTTCAGAGGCACAGAGTCTCTTTACCCCACATCCCACAGAGAGTTGGGACTGGACCTCAGGCCCCTGCCTGCCTGCTATTCCAGTTCACCCTGATGTTTGGAAAAGCAAACATCTATTTTACTTCCACACCAGTCCTTGCTGGTGAGTGTATCCCTGAGGCAGGGCAGGGCAGGGGAGGATGGAAGCTTTGCCCACCACAGGGGCAGGCGTCTGGCTAAGCTTGTGTGGCGATGGCTCAGGGGTATCTGGGCTGCCCAGTGGCTCCGTCTCTGGGCTGCAGCTTCCCGGGATGGGTCTCCCCCATGGGAGAGGCACCGGATATTGGATGACTTACATCACACCAGGTCCCAAGAAGTTGAATCCTCTTCAGGAAATCTCAACCTTTCTCTGGTTCTGCCACTTTTGTCACCAGTCACTCAGCCCATAACAAGAACCTGGAGTTTGTGCTTTAGAGCTCATCTCTGACATCTCAGGACGGACGCGCCTTGGCTGAATTCCTCTGACATTCTCCCAGAGCCATCTTTCCTTCCTGGTGCCCCAGGTGTCCTGAGTCCTTGTGTCACTCAGTGTTGTGCCCTCCCCCGGGTACTAGTCAGAGGCAATGTGCAATCTCTGCATGTCCCTGTCACTCCTCTCACCTTCAGGAGGTCTGTGGCTCACAGGGACCTGCAGCCCTCCTCAGAGGTGGCTTCAGCAATCAGCTGGGAGCAAAAGGCCAAGGCCAGAGGACTGCTTGAGCCTTGAGGCCAGGAGTTTCAGACCAGCCTGCCCAACACAGTGAGATCCCATCTCTACAAAAAGAAAAAAAAAAACAGCCAGGCGTGGTGGTGCACTCCTATAGAAGCGGAAGCTCCAGACTATGGAGTTCTTAAGCTGGGCCGTGGGTGTAGCCCAGCTTAATAGAGAACGTGAACCAGTGGCAGAAACACAGGTTTTCTGCCCTTTTGGCTGGCGTGCCCAACCCTTGGGAAACCCCAAGTTCCCGAAGGCTTTTCCGTGTCTCCAAAAGGACACATCCTCAGTGTTCTTCCAGCTCCATGCTCACCTCATCACCATGGCGGCCCTCAAAACCCAGGGAGGGAGGGCAGTGCCGGGGGCCTTGTGTCTTCTGCTCTTCTAGGGTCCTGCAGCTGCAGGAGTGTTTCCTGGTTGGTGCTTTAGGGAGCCACACTACCTCAGTCGGCTTAGGTAGGAGCTGATTCTTGGCAGACAGAATGACAGAAAGAACAAAGGGACAGGGAAGCCTTTCTGAACAGCCAGGCCATCAGAGACTGGACAGGATACCAGAGGATGAGGCAGATGCAGAATGGCAAGAACTGAGCTTCTTCAAAGCTCAACTTTGATGCCACCTCCTCCAGGAAGCTTTCTCTGGTCCTCTGGTCAGAAACTGTCCTAAACATTTGGCGGGACACTCTGTTGTAGGATTTTGCCTGGTGGTAGGAAAAGCTTGGATGTTAGCCTCAGAAAGATTCTCAGCTCTGCCGTTAAAGGCTGTGTGCCCCAGGGCAAGTCTTTGCCTTTCTAAGCCCGGTTCCTTCTCTGGAAAATGAGGCTAATACTTTGGCAAATTGTCAGAAAGTTTAAAGAAGTGGGCTGGGCACAGTGGTTCATGCCTGTCATGCCAGCACTCTGGGAGGCCAAGGCTGGAGTATTGCTTGAAGCTTGAGGCCAGGAGGAGTTTCAGACCAGCCTGGGCAACACAGTGAGATTCCATCTCTACAAAAAGAAAAAAAAAACCACCAGGTGTGGTGGTGCACTCCCACAGACACTGAAGCTGCAGTGAGCTGAGACTGTACCACTGCACTCCAGCCTGGGTGACAGAGGAAGACTGTCTTAAAAAAAAAGGACTATGTAGAAAATACCCGGCACAGTGCCCTTCCTTACCCATGTCTCCCCTCACCCACAGTGTGGCCATCCTGCTCTACCTGACACACAAATATAAGGTCCCTGACTACTGGTATCCTCAGGACCTGCAGGCCCGAGCACGCGTGGACGAGTACCTGGCATGGCAGCATACGACTCTGCGGAGAAGCTGCCTCCGGGCTTTGTGGCATAAGGTGAGGCTGGGAGTGTGGGGGCGGCAGTCAGGACATTCCCCAAAAGTGCTCAGGCACCGTTTTCTTCTTTTCAGTTTTGAATTTTTTTCTACCGACCTGTCTTTGCCTTCACAGATTTTCCTATTGTGCCAAATTGCTGTTAAGCTCATCCCATACATTCTTTGAGAATGTATTTTTCACCTCTAGAAATTCCATTTGGTTTTTTGTTTGTTTATTTTTGAGACGAAGTCTTGCTCTCTCACCAGGCTGGAGTGCAATGGGGCGATCTCGGCTCACCGCAACCTCCACCTCCCAGGTTCAAGCAATGCTCCTGCCTCAGCCTCCGGAGTAGCTGGGACTACAGGTGTGCACTACCACACCCAGCTAATTTTTGTATTTTCAATAGAGACGGGGTTTCACCATGCTGGGCCAGGATGGTCTCCATTTCTTAACCTCGTGCTGCCCACCTCAGCCTCCCAAAGTGCTGGGATTACAGGCGTGAGCCACCAACCCAGCCGCATTTGGTTGTTTCTTAGAATTTTTACTTCTCTGCTGAAATTCACCATCTGTTCATCCATTTTATCTTTTTTTCTAAATTCTTTAATATATTTATCACGGTTAACTAAAAATCTTGTCAACTAATTTCAACACCTAACTGTTCTAAATGTGGGTCTGTTTTTGTTTGTTTTTTGAGACGGGTCTCGCTCTGTCACCCAGGCTGAGTGCAATGGCGCGATCTAGCTCACTTCAACCTCCACCTATCGGGCTCAAGCGATTCTCCTGCCTCAGCCTCCTAAGTAGCTGGTATTACAGGCACCCACCAGCACACCTGGCTACTTTTTGTATTTGTAGTAGAGACCGGATTTCACCAGGCTGGTTTCAAACTCCTGGCCTCAAGTGATTCGTCCTCCTTGGCCTCCCAAAGTGTTGGGATTACCGGCATCAGCCACTGTGCCCAGCCTATGGGTCTATTTCTACTGTTTTTTCCCTCCTCTTGATAATGAGTCACACTTGCCGCTTCTTTGCATATTTCATGATGTATTATTATTTTTGAATTTTTTGAGATGGACTCTCTGTCGCCCAGGCTGGAATGCAATGGCTTGATCTTGGCTCACTGCAACCTCCACCTCCTGGGGTCAAGAGATTCTCCCACCTCAGCCCCCCAAGTAGCTAGAATTACAGGCTTCCGCCATCACGCCTGGCTTATTTTTGTATCTTTTGTAGAGTTGGGGTTGCACGATGTTGGCCAGGCTGGTCTTGAACTCCTGACCTCAGGTGATCTGCCAGCCTCGACCTTCCAAAGTGTTGGCATTACAGGCATGAGCCACCGTGCCAGGCCTCATGAATTATTCTTGTGTGCCAGACATGATGCTGAAAGAAAAGTAGAGATTAAATTGCATAATAAATATCCGCAAACAAGGGCTTGTACTTCCCTTTGTCAGGCAGCCAGGATGTGAGGCTGTTCTCTTCTAGCTAATCAGGAGGGGGGCTGGTTGCAGGTTTAGTTGGTTTCGGTTTATCTTTGGTTTCAAATATCTTGAATGTGAGATCAAGTCACTAGCCTCACTCCAGCAGGGCTTTGGAATCTAATCACCAACTACTACAGTGCCTATAAGATCTCTCTGCTGCTCAGCCCTGCCCCCAGTTCCCAAACTGCTGCTCTGTCAGAAAAGCCTGTGCCTGTGGCAGTCTTTCTCACTGCCTGCTTGGGCTCCAGGAAATGAAATTGGAATAAAAGTAGCTTATCTGGGAAGGGCTTGTGCCTCTCTGGAATTTAGTTCATTTAGTCAAGTGCTGTCCGATAGAAGTATAAAGTGAGCCACATACGTAATTTTAGATTTTCTAGTAGGCACATTTAAAAAGTAGAGGGAGGGCTGGGCACGGTGACTCACGCCTGTAATCCCAACACTTACGGAGGCCCAGGCGGGTGGATCACGAGGTCAGGAGTTTGAGACCAGGCTGGCCAACATGGTGAAACCCCATCTCTAATAAAGACACAAAAATCTGCCGGGTGTGATGGTGTGTGCCTGTAATCCCAGCTACTCGGGAGGCTAAGGCAGAAGAATCTCTTGAACCCAGGGGGGCAGAGATTGCAGTGAGCTGCAGTAGCGCCACTGAACTCCAGCCTGTGTGACAGAGTGAAACACTGTCTCAAAAACAAAACAAAACAAGTAAAAATAAATCGATGTATTTTACTTAACACAATGTCTTCAGAATATTATCATTTTGGGTCACAAGTACAAGAAAAGATGCTCAGCATCACTAATCCTTAGGGAAATGCAAACCAAAACTAACTCCCCACCCCACTAACTCCCCACTTCACCTGCCCAATCCCCAGGTGATGTTCCCTGTTTTCCTGGGTGAGCCGGTATCTCCCCAGACACTGGCAGCCACCCTGGCAGAGTTGGATGTGAACCTGCAGTTGCTCGAGAACAAGTTCCTCCAGAACAAGGCCTTCCTCGCCGGGCCTCACATCTCCTTAGCTGACCTGGTAGCCATCACGGAGCTGATGCACGTGAGTGCTGGGGGCTGGTGGGCCCACTAGGCAGGGGGGGTCCTCGCTAGTTGCTGAAGTCCTGCTTATGCCTGCCCCACCTGGCTACGGGACTGTGCTTATGTGTGTGTGCAAACCCCTTCTGGAGCTTCTGTGGTCCCCAAATCAGATGCTGCCCATCTTTGCCCTTACAACCATCCATCCCCATTCTGTCCCCTTTTCCCCACAGCCCGTGGGTGCTGGCTGCCAAGTCTTCGAAGGCCGACCCAAGCTGGCCGCGTGGCGGAATCGCGTGGAGGCAGCAGTGGGGGAGGACCTCTTCCAGGAGGCCCATGACATCATTCTGAAGGCCAAGGACTTGCCACCTGCAGACCCCACCACAAAGCAGAAGCTGTTGCCCAGGGTACTGGCCATGATCCAGTGAGCTGGGAAACCTCACCCCTGCACTGCCCTCAGCAGTTCACAAAGCGCTTTCATTTTCTTTCTTTCTTTTTGAGACAGAGTCTTGCTCTGTTGCCCATGCTGGAGTGCAATGGTGCCATGTCGGCTCTCTGCAACCTCCACTTCTTGGGTTCAAGTGATTCTCCTGCTTCAGCCTCCCCAACAGCTAGAATTACAGGTGCCCACCACTGTGTCTGGCCAATTTTTGTAGTTTTAGTAGAGACAGGGTTTTACCATGTTGGTGAGGCTAGTCTTGAACTCCGGATCTCGTGATCCATCCGCCTCGGCCTCCCAAAGTGCTGGAATTACAGGCATGAGCCTCCACACCCGGCCATCACTTTCATTTCTAATGGCCCATGGGACCCAGGCCCAGAGAGCAGGAATGGCTTGCTTAAGACTTGCCGAAGTCCCAGAGCACCTCAGCTCCCCAGACCACCATCCCTACCCTGTCTCCCACAGCTGCCTGAAAGCCACAAAGAGAATGATGCACACAGAGATCTTGTGTCCTTTAATCACTGCATTTCATTTTAAGTTTGGATAATAAATCTCAGGCTCAGCCTGAGCCTCTGCTTCTTTTTTTCTTTTTTTTTTTGAGACAGAGTTTCGCTCTTGTTACCCAGGCTGGAGTGCAATGGCGCGATCTCGGCTCACCGCAACCTCTGCCTCCTGGGCTCAAGCAATTCTCCTGCCTCAGCCTCCTGAGTAGCTGGGATTACAGGCACGCGTCACCATGCCCAGCTAATTTTTTGTATTTTTAGTAGAGACGGGGTTTCACCATGTTGACCAGGATGGTTTCGATCTCTTGACCTCGTGATCCACCCACCTCAGCCTCCCAGAGTGCTGGGATTACAGGCTTGAGCCACCGCGCCTGGTGAGCCTCTGCTTCTAACTCAAATGTGTCATTTCTTTGACTTTCCTCTGACCCAACCCTGGTCTTGATCTCTATCCAAAAGACAATCCCCTTCCCAGGTCCTGTGGGTCAGCCTCTCCCTGATGTTTGCCAGTAGTGAAATTAACAAACGTGGCTAAGTGCAGTGGCACATGCTTATAATCCCAGCACTTTGGGAGGTCCAGGTGGCGGGATTGCTTGAGTCCAGGAGTTTTAAAAAAAATTTTTTTTTTTTTTTTTGGTGAGTTTTGTTCTATTGCCCAGGCTGGAGTTGGGGCAGGAAAGTGATGGCCACAGCCTGGAAATGATGCCTTCAACCAGCCAGTGAGCAGAAGGAAACAGTGGTTAAAAGGGGAGAGATTTTTGACAGGAGTCAAGCAGGTTTTTATGTGGGAGAAGAAGCCAGAAGAGGGGAAGAGGTTGAAGGTGGAGGAGAGAGGAGCTAAGTGGCCAAGTGAGGTCCTTGCTGAGGATGGAGGTGACTCTGAGACCAGGGGAGATGCAAGAGCAGGCACCTGAGCCTGGGGGAGGGAGGCCAGGGGAGCACAGAAGCCCATCCACCCATGAGCCAGGTCTCACCCTGTGGGTAGGAGGGGGCAGCCAGCCCACAGGAAGCCTGGCCTTTGGAACCTGCAGTGAGTGAATGAGGTCAGGAAACTCTCAGGCTCTTCTGGGATCCAACTAGGTTAACTCTTTGATCTCCTTTCCTGGATGCAAATTTCTTCTTGGACTTTCACTCTTTACTCTTCCAGCATTCCCCCATACTAGCTCGTATGAGCTGAATCCTCAGCCCACCAGGGCTTCTCAGGCTTTTCCTGGAACTTTCTTGTGTTTTTCAAGTAGAAACTCAATGCCAATTAGCTTAGAGAAAAAAAAAAAAAAAAATTGGAGTGGGAGGTGGGTGGGTGGGGAGATTTCTCAGAAAACTTCTCCAGTCAGGAGAGTAGGGGTGTAGAGGCCACCAAGAGAACTGGAATCGGAACCTGTTTCTGTCTTCCCCACACTTGCCCTTTCCTTTTCCCTCCCTCTTCCTTCCCTCCCCCTCCCCCCCTTATTTCTTTGAGACTGGATCTCTGTCTCCCCATTTTTTTCTTTTCCTTCTCTCTCTGTCTCTTTCTTGACATGACATCTTGCTCTGCCACCCAGCCTGAAGAGCAGTGGCATGTTCACGGCTCACTACAACCTCCAAGTCCTGTGCACCAGCAGTCATTCCGCTTCAGCCTCTGGAATGCCTGAGACTACAGGTGCACCCACCGTACCCCACTAATTAAAAACAAAAAAGAAACAAACAAAAAAAACACCAAAACTTAGGGCCCGGCACGGTGGCGCATGCCTATCATCCCAGCCCTTTGAGAGGCCAAGCTGGGCTGATCACATGAGCCCAGGAGTTCCAGAGCAGCCTGGGCAACATGGCGAAACCCTGTCTCTACAGAAAATACAAAAATTAGCCGGGCACAGTGGTACATGCCTGTAGTCCCAGCTACTCAAGAGACTGAGGTGGGAGGATCACTTTAGCCCTGGAAACAAAGGCTACAGTGAGCCAAGATCACACCACTGTGCTCTAGCCTGGGCAACAGAGCCAGACTGTCTCAAAAAAAAAAAAAAAAAAAAAAAAAAAAAAAAAAAAAAATGGCCAGGCACGGTGGCTCATGCCTATAATCCAAGCACTCTGGAGGCCAAGGCGGGCAGATCACCTGAGGTCAGGAGCTCAAGACCAGCCTGACCAACATGGTAAAACCCCGTCTTTAAAAAAAAAAAAAAAAAAAAAAAAGAAAAAGAAAAAAGAGAGAAAGAGACAGAAACAGCGAGACGAGGTCTCACCATGTTGCCCAAGCTGATCTCAAACTCCTGGCCTGAAGTGATCCTCCTGTCTCAGCCTCCGGAGCTCAGTAGCTGGGATTACAGGTATGGGCCACCAGCCTGGCTATCACTCCCTTTCTCTGAGTCAGCTTTTCTCTCAGACTGGCCTACTCCATGAACTCAGGAAATGCCACTATAGGTGGCCCCAGCTCCTAGTTACTTCCCCATAGGGAGTTCCAATTTCAAAACTTCCAAGGAAGCATTCTGGTTGGCTTGCTTGGGGCACTGGCCAGAGGGATAGGATACTCTGAAAGATTCAGCCAGGGTCCCAGGCCCAGCCGTGGCCCATCACTGCGTCCCCTGGTGAGATGCCAGGGCCGGGATCCAGGGAGAGGAAAGGAGGTTCCCGAGCAGTACTCGTTCCGGCCCCCTGCGGCTGCGGCACCCTCCCCATCCTGGGCACTAACGTTCCGGCCCCCTGCAGCTGCGGCACCCTCCCCATCCTGGGCACGAACGGAGCTCCTGCTGTCTGGCAGCAGCTGCTCTGCAGCTCTGCAGGCCACAGTCTGTCACATTCCACTGGGTGAAACTCTAAGATCCCTTGTAGAGGATCCCATTCGCTCCCTCCCTCCTGCTGCCTTGCGGCTTGGAGAAACAAAGCTCTAAAAGAACCTTCCGATGTCCCTGCACTGGGGCCTTTGTAGGATGGCAGGGCCCAGTCATTTGTGGGTCTGGGCAAGGCCTGGAACCAGGTAGGGTCTCTGGTACCAGGCCTCTGAAAAGCAACACGTGGCCCTGGCTCATATCCCATGGGCAGGGAGGAGAGAGGAGGGGCACCTGGGGAGCACATACGGCTTGGGTTGTGTCTGGGATGAGCAGGGGCTGACACAGCCTGTCCAAGAACCTTTGTCTTCATCCTGTTCTGAGCCCCAGTGCCCCTCCACTCCCAGACTGAAGGGGATTGGAAGAGAGGACAAGGGGACATTTTTCCAGTGTTGTACAGAGCAGGTTCAATAAATGCAAGCAAGCTGAAAATAGCCTCTACTGACTTCTCTCAGACTACCCCAATCTGCCCAAGCTGGGACTGGAGGCCAATGCCATGGCCCGAGGGCACAGCTCCTGGTGAGGTCCAGCCACCAGGCAGGAAGAGGACAAGAGGTCAGCTAGCTGCAGAAGTGATGGCGAGAGACCTGTCAGAGGAGGGCAAAAGATGTGCTTCCCCTCCTGATCCCTGACCGATGCGCATGGACACGCAAGGCACTCCACTGAGCATCCACTGTGTGCCGGCCCCATGCAGGGTTCCAGGGGTCCAGGGAGCCTTTTCTGAGCTGCACCACCTCAGACGTATCACTTGACCATTCTGACCTTGAGTTTTCTCTTGTGCTAAAGAGGTAACGAGTCTCTACCTCACAGGGCAGCTGCTGGGATATCACAGAGATGCAGTTCTCAAAGTGCAAAGCAGAAGGTCCAGCCAAGAGTCGGTGCCCACGATAACAAAGACAGGAGACTCGGGGGAGGAGGGGGGGTGCCGAGGAGCTGGAGCTGGAGGCCGCAGCTGGAGGACAGTCCTTCAAATGCAGAGAAGACCCTGGGCCCCACTGGGGGTAAAGGCCTTATAGCCAGTGTCCTTATAGCCACTGCCCATTCATTCCCAGCTCAGCCATCCTGATGTACCTGAGCTGTAAGTACCAGACAGTGGACCACTGCTATCTGACCTTCAGGCTCGTGCCCGTGTTCATGAGTATCTGGGCTGGCATGCCAACTGCATCCGCGGCACCTTTGGTGTACTCCTGTGGACCCGGGTGAGGCGAGCCATGTGGGGAGTGCTTGGCCATCAGAGAGTAGTTGGGAGTAGGCAGGGGCCATAGACTGACCCACTCTCTGCCCCCCTCAGGTGCTGGGGCCATTCACTGGGGTCCAGGTGCCCAAGGAGAAGGTGAAACGCAACAGGACTGCCATGGATTATGCACTGCAGTGGATAGAGGACAAGTTCCTGGGGACAGGGCCTTCCTTGCTGGCCAGCAGGTGATGCTGGCTGATCTCATGGCGCTGGAGGAGCTGATGCAGGTGTGAGCTCAGCCTGTGGGCAGTGTCCCTCTTTGTGCCACACCGATGAGGCAGACAGAAACACTGAGGCCTAGAGAAAACCAGGACTTTGCCCAGAATCATAGAGCAAGTCTCTGGATGATCTGGGGCCAGAACCCTGAGCTTCCACCTCCTGCCTGGGTGTGGGATCCCACCCCGGCTGCTCTGGGGCCCTAAGGATGACCACACTGCCTGGGCCCCTGTGGTCCATTCACATGGGGGCTGGGGACTGGAGCATCCTGGAAAAGGAGGCCAAAAAAACCCTCCCAACACCCCCATCAGAGGCCTATCCGACTATGCTGCTTCAAATTGCCAGGATTCCCTGAAGGGTCTGGGATAGGGGCCAGGATCTCAGCACTGGGGATCAATTCTGTTTCTTACTTGCCTCTTTTTATCTTTCCATCTTGCGTCAGTTCCTTGTCTCCAGCTTCCGGTGAAGCTCTGCATAGGCAGGACACTCAGTGTCCTTGGCAGTGCTGCTACTCCTCAAATGCAGCATACGTAACCAATAGGAGACTAAATCTGCAATATATAAAGAGCTCCTACAAATCAACAACATGAAGAAAGCAATCAAAAATTGGCAAATGTCATCAGTGTTTTAAATAAAATAAAGATTCCAAACACTTTGAATAGGGAACCAAGAGTTATTGGTTTTATTAGAGTGAAAGTATGTGCTAGTAATCCTCATCATGGTTAACCAAAGTAACCTCAAGATAACAAGTCAACACAACTGTAACACCGGGGCAACAACATATTAAATAAGTTACCAATTCGAATTGCAAACTATTAAAGGATATAGGCAATGTTTCACAGGACACAGCAACAGTCTTTGAAGTCTAGGAAGCTTAAAAGATACCTTTTAACAAACGTTCCTACCTTTTAGGACAGTTTTGTATTAACAGCAAACAGTAGGATTATACCTTGTCACACAGACCTCCAGGTATATCCATGGGATGGACCCCACCACAATTATTTTAACAGAGAACTTAATATACGGAATTGGTAACCAGGCATTAGAGAACTCCAAAGACAGAGAAAATCCAGGTTAACTCGGAGGTAAACACGGCAAGAAGCTACTACCCCTAGGGCTGGGGGATCAAGGGAGGACATTGGAATCAGGAAAACCAAGATGCTGGAGGGACTCTGAGGAATGCAAACCTCCAAGGAAGGTGTCGCTTCACCCCCTGGCATCACCTTCTAAGGGCAGGACTGCGCAGTTTGCCCTGAGGTCTTCACAGGAGGCCCTGTGGCTGTGGATGCAGTTCTCAAGATGTGACAGTAGATGTCACTGCCAACCAATAAACAGGATGCTTCATACACGCTCTGGGCTACTGCCCAGTGCCCCCCATTTCCCATGCCTGCCCTGTGCCCACCATGTGCCACTCCTAGCCAGAAGTACTCCCAGCAGCAACCATTGCAACTGTCCTGCCCTGAGGGTGCCTGGTAGTGGCTTCTTAGGTCCCATTCCAGCCGTCTCTCTCTCAGTGATTTCCAGTGTCTCTCGGGGACACTGTGGCCTGCTTTCCTGGGACTTTTCCATTACCACCCCTGCTCCCCCATCAGGTGCTGGGGACGGCGGCCACAGCCTGTGCCTTCTTGATCCACACTGGCTGCTTTTGCATTGTTCCTAATCGGACGGTTTTGCTTTCTAGACACTCCAGTATAGTATACGAAATAAAGAGCAAAGCTCAACAGTCTGTCCCGGTGCTGTGTAGGTGGCAGTAAGCCCGGGAGAGTGACCTCCGCTGAACTAATTGTGCTGTGAGGAGGGGCAGGGAAGGGTCCCGCGAAGTGACCTTGAATTCCACTTAGTGCTCTTGGCAGAGGGAAGGGCTTGCGCGAGTGCTGGAGGCATGAGATGGGGGTGTGTTCAGGGCTCTCCAGCAGTGCAGGTGTGGGAAGGGGAAACTGAGGGCCAAAAGCTGAGGCGACACTGGGAAGGGAGCCATAGCAAGGTGAGGACTGGCTTTTGGCCATGTGACTGAATTGCCTGTGTGTGATGCGTGTGTGTGAATGTCAGTGAACTGTGCGTGTATGAACCGTGTGACTGTGAATGTGAGTTAGTGGTATGCTTTTGTATCTGGTTGTATATGTGTGTGAATGTGACTATCGTGTGACTGTGTGTGGACGTGGGAGGATGTGTGTGAAGGTATGTGGTTGTGTGTCTGTGTGTGAGTGTGAGGCACAGGTGCAACAGGAGAAGACACAGGAAGCCTTACAGGCCTGCCGTGTGTCCCCCCAGCCTTCCTCCCGGCCTGGGGGCCCTTGGGCTGAAAGGTTGTGAAAGCCATTGCTACTGCCAGGAAGGGATGATGCTGGCTGGGAGGGCTTGAGCCTTGCCAAAGGGTGGGAGTCAGAACTTGCAACCCTGTGGAGGAGGAGGGGCAGACGGGGGACCCTGCTTTTGGAAAACTGGTGACCAACCCCAAAGGAACACAGGCAATTCCTGCCCACACTTCACAGGGGTGGGGCAAAGGGGAGAGGAGATTAGCAGGCCATCCAGCCAGTCACGGAGGGAGTAGGCTTCAGGAGGAGAACAGAGTTCTGGTCCCATTTGGGGGCTGAGGACAGGAGCTCAGGTCAGCGGTCTGCAGGGAGGCCCCAGCTGGACCAGCTGCCCACACCTTCCCACAGGCCTGCACATGGGTATACAGAGCAGAGCCTCCAGGCTGAGACTTCCACACCCAGATCTGAGCAGTCTAAACATAGCAGACAGCAGCCCTGAAGATGGAAGACATCCCTCTCCAGGTTCCATACAGTCTCTTTATCCACCAGCCCTGCTGCTCATGGTGGCCCAGGATACCCAGGAGAGATAATAGGAGGTAAGAAGTCATGTTTGAACAAGGAAGCTCTCTTCATTTATTTCGTATAAGATGAAGAAGAGGATTATGTGATCACAGGAATGTTGTATGCAGGATTATCCGAAGCTGGTATCACCAGGCCCTCACTCTGCCAAGAGGTCTCCCTGGAAGGGGCAGCCAGCTCAGAGATGCCCTGGATCCCTCCATGCCAATCATAAAAAAGTCATGACCGTCCCTTTCTTGCCAATCTGCCAGGGCTCCAGGGGGAAAAAGCGGATAACTATCCTTCAGGAGACAGAGAAAAAGATATCATCAGCCCCTTGGCTAACACCACACCTTACAAGACCCCTGTTGGGGACTCCCAACTGTGGGTACCCAGGACAGCCTGCCTCAGCCCACCACGCATTTTGCAGGCCTACTCATCCCAGTAATGATCTTCCCCCAACCTCCAGCAGGGCAGTGGGACACTCAGGTGTGGGATGGGGGCTGCATACCAGCATGGCCCACCTATGATAGACACTCAACAGTGGCCTCAGTGTGATTACTGTACACTCCATCATCTCCATCAGTCTTGGTGTGGGCTCAGGGGCAGCCTGCCTCCTCCTAACTGCAGGCTCCCTACGGGCACATGCCTCAGCCACGTTTTCTCAAAGACTGGGCACAGAGTGACCCCCCGCCAACCCCAGCCACTAATGCCTGTGCCATAAGTGAACATGACCTTCTCAGAGGTGACAGCAAGATTCCAGCGAGGAGCATCAGAGCTCGGGATAGCCTGCCTAGGGGCAGGGGGCAGTATGAACAGCCTCCATCTTCCCATTATAAAAGTGGCATAATGGAGCTATTTACCTCATGGGGATAGCATGTCTTGTCTGAGCAAAGAGAGTGTGGACAGGGACAGTAAGGATGGAACGGGATCATGAGTGTAAAGTACCTGTAGAGCACCCAGCACATGGTAAGCATTTCTTAATACTTGTTCTTAGAATAACAGTTTTTCCTCAGTATCCATGGGAGATTTGTTCTAGGATCCCAGAGGATACCAAAATCTACACGTGTTCAAGTCCCTTACATAACATGGTGTAATATTTGCATATAACCTATACACATCCTCTCACATACTTTAAATCATCTCTGGGTTACTTACAATACCTAATCGAATATATGTGGTAGTTGTATTGTTTAGGGAATAATGACAAGGAAAAAGTCTGTACATATTCTCAGTATAGATGCAACTACCCATTTTTTTCTTTGATATTTCAATCCACGGTTGGTTGAATCTACAGCCGCGGAACCCAGCGATACAGAGGGCTGACTCTATTATTTCTCCATAGCTTGAGAGAGGACACATCAGGTTCGGCCATACCTCATTGGCCTTCACGGACTAACAAAGGCTCCACTCCAGAAGGTGTTTTTTTTTTTTTTTTTTGGAGACAGGGTCTCGCTGCCACCCAGGCTGGGGTGCAATGTCGCAATCACAGCTCACTGAAGCCTCAACCTCTTGGGCTGAAGCCATCTCCCACCTCATCCTCCAAAGTAAGTGGGACTACAGGTGCACACCACCATGTCTGGCTAATTTCAAACATTTTCTGGGAGGATGGTGTCTATGTTACCCAGACTGGTCTCCAACTCCTGGGTCAACTGAACCTCCCGCCTTGGCTTCCCAAAGTGCAGGGATTACAGGCATGAGCCACCATACCTGGCCAGTGTCCTTTCAAGCTTCTCATGCCCTTACTTCCTCAGAGGCATGGACGTGGCTCAAGAATATCTTTTACCCAAGAGGGAACTTTAACTCTGTCACAGAATGACAGGTTTGGGTTGTAGAGGCTTCTTGCGGGGGAGGGACGTCATTTCCCTGTTTTCACAGAAGAGGAGGTTGCTAACCAGATGGTTCATTTCCAAGTTTGTCTGGGATCCCCCAGCTATGCAGGACCCAAAGCAGACGTCTAGACATCCAGGCCAATGCTCTTTCACTACTCTGAGTCCCCGTGAACCTCACGTGGAACCTGGTTGGGACATAGGTCCAAAAGACATAACCTCAAAACATACCCAGAATTCCTTCTGACCAGCCTGGCTCGTTTTTCTGGAAAAAGTTCTAGAAAATCACTCTTCGGCCAGGTGTACCTACTCTGCCACGAGCTAAGGCAGATACAGCACAAACAATCCCATATGACCCTTGCAATGCCTCTAGTGAATAGTTAAAAGCGAGCCTTCCCCATTCACAGACTTAGAGGAGCAGAGCCAGGAATTCATTCAATCCTGCCCGCCCTGCACTTTGAAGATGGTCCTACGATAAGGAGCCTGAGGTTCATTTCTTTCACAAACCTCAGGTGAAGGGCCCCACGCCCCGATGTGTCCCTACTGGGCAGGGCAAGAAATGGGATTTTCCCCCCGAGGCAGGATCACTGAGTCGTCTGCCGTAGTCCCAAACGGATCCCCTACTTCCCCTACGCACCGGTCCTGGTCCAGAGATAGCTCCTTGGTGAGAAACTCAAAGAAGCGGGCGCTGTGGCTGCGGTTGTCCTCGGCGGTGCCCACGACGCCGATAGAGGAGACGGACAGCTGCGCGCAGGGCTCGGTGGACCCGTTCAGCGCCATGGCCAGGCCCGGCCGCACCGTCACGTTCACGCGCTGAGGGAAACACGGAAAGTTTTGCCCGAAGCTGGGGCGGGCCCGGGCTACCTCTGGGGACGGACCCGAGCGCGCAAAAGCCGAAACGCGCAGTGTTTGCGGGGTCAGGAATCCCGGTACAGGCGGAGGTCCCTGGAGGTCATGTCCGGGTCATGACGGGGGAGGGCGACAAGGGAAAGCCATGCAGAGGGGGAGCAGCGGGATCGTGGAGGACGGAAAGTCAGAGCTTGGCGTGCGAGATGAGGGGGGATGTGGTCCCTAAGGAGATGGGACGGGGTCGCGGTCAGGGAGGCGGAGCAGGGACAGGCCCGGACCCCTGGCCCACCAACCTCCCCTCACCCGGTGCTGCCCGCCCCACGCTCACGTCCGCAGGTTTGCCCAAGATGGAGGCAGCGGCGGCGCAGAGCCGTTTCTCCAGCCCCGCGGGCACTCGGTTGGCGGCTAAATTCGTGTCCAGCTCTAAGAACGGCATGGCGGGCACAGGAACGAACCCAACACGGGCGGAGAAAAAGCTCGGAGTACCCAAGTGTCGCGCACCCGGGCGCAGGGGCGTGACGCCACAGAAACCTGGATTCTTATTGGCTAGACAGAGATTCGGCGCTCCCCGATTGGCTGTCTAGGGTACATCCCGCTTCTACAAACAAAAGTCACGTGTGCTGGCTAAGATTTCCGGAAGTCCCATTGACACCCCCCCACACGCACTACGTGTAGCCCCCCCCCACTACGAGTCTTTCACTGCGTCGTGGCCCCACCTGGTCCCTTCCTGGACCCTCCTGGCCAGCGCCTGGTAGATTTTTCGCTCCTCAAGCTTTCGGCGTGGTGGTCGCCTGGTTCCTAGCCCAATTAGAGGTCTGAACATCCCAAACACACACAGACACACACGCGCCTATAGGAGTCTTCCCCAGCCTCGACCCTAATAATCAATGCAACGGGAGCTTAAAAATATTTTTGATTGATTTGCCACCATTTCAGTGTCAGGCAGTTTTATGTTCCCTAGGGAAATCTGCGCTTCTCTTGGGCAATCACGAGATCCAATTACACGTGCGGGCTCGGGTGGGGCTGGGCAGTGACCCTTGGATTCTCGACCTTCCCCACCCTCAGCTGGTCCACACTGACTGTGTAGGAAATCTGTTGATGTGGCTTAAACATGAGTGTGGTCAGTGTGGCAAAATCACTTGAATTGTACATTGTAAATACGACTGAAATTGTAGCCAGGCAAAGTAGCTGACACCTGTAATCTCAGCACTTTGGGAGGCCAAGAAGGGAGGATTGCTTGAGCTCAGGAATTCAAGACCAGGTTAGGCAACATAGCAAGATTCCCTTCATTAAAAAAAAAAAAAAAAAAAAAAATTACAGGTGCCTGGGCAGCTGAGGCAGGCGGATCGCTGGAGCCCAGGAGATCGAAGCTTCAGTGAGCTGTGAATGTGCCACTGCACTCCACTCTAGATGACAGAGTGAGACCCAGGCTCCCCCACACCCCCAAAACATGAAAGAAAAAAGTGTAGGTTTATATGTACCATTTCGACTACACATATAAAATTCTGTATAAGTGTGCATACTTAAAGCAGCCTCCACTGAAAGTCAGGCATACCAAGAGTCTCTGTCTGTCATGATCTTGTACTATTAGTGGTTTGTTTATTAGTGACTCAGATAACAGAAGGTCTGAGACACACAACAGATAAGTATGACAGTCCAGAGGGGAGAGGGCAGGGACAGGTGACAAGTTTGAGACCAGGTGTGGGGCATGGACAGGCCAGTTTTCAGGGAGTGGGGTGTAGAGAAGACAGGGATGAAGGTTATGAGGAGGCATGGGAGAGGGCCAGGAAATAGCCGGGGACTTCCCTTCCTGCAAGGAGGTTAATGAACCAGCCCTGTATGCCACCTGTGGGACACAGCATCGCTTCAGAGTGAGGAGAGAGACCTAGGAGACTGTTGAAAACAGACGCTCGATGTGGCAAAGAAAAATCAACACCGAGACAAAAGACTTCTCAGCAAAGCAATTTTTACTTCCTGCACTGCAGGAAGGGTACCCTTGCTAGCCATCTTCCGTGAGAGTACAACAAACAAAGGAAAAGCAGACATTTATCCCTTACGCATTTGGGGTTGTCCTTACTGCTGTGTTTGATCTCCGTTGGCTGGAGCCAGACCTCACTATTTAAATTATAACCTGACTGGCTAACAACTTAAAATTTATCTAAACAGGTAAAAGCAATGGAGAAGTTCAAATAAGGAAGGGGCATAGGCTGCCAGATGGGACGTGCCTGTGGGCATGTCTAGCACTGATATTTTGGCTAAAGAACAAGGAGACAGAATGTACTATGTGCCTATAAGCATGTCTAACAGGCACATAGGATAGGGCTTAACAAAGAGTTATTTCTGTTCTTGATTTTTAACTTTATTCCAGTGTGTCCAGAGAACATACTTTGTATGATTTCGGTCTTCTTAAGTTTGAGACTTATGACTAAATATACGCTCTATACTGGAGAAAATTCCACGTGCTCTTTAGAAGAATGCTTGTTCTGCTCTCGTCCAGTGGAAAGTTCTGTTTGTGTCTACTGTGTGCAATTGGTTTACAGTGTTTTTCAAGTCTCTATTTCCTTGATGATCTTCTGTAGTTTTTCTATTAATGAAAGTGGGGTTTTGAAGTCACCAACTATTATTACTGACAATGTAACTATACTTAACCCTTTGCTCTTAAAATTCTTTCGGGAAACTGGAAGGATCTGTGACCACCACCCACTCTCACATCGGACCCTACGCACACGCCAACTGTCTGCTGCTCAGCAGCTGTGATGGTTGTTCCAGTTCTTTATTAGGCAAGGAACAGTTTTTTTTTTCTTTTTTTTAACATTTCCTTTAAGGAACGTGGCTCAGAGAGCTGAGCCAGCCAGGCCCTGCAGGATGGGCTGAGTCTAGGGTTACTTGCTCTTCTTCAGCAACTCAGAAATATTCTCCTTGACCGCTGGATCCAATGTAGAAACGTCCCAGTCAGCCAACTGCATTAGTCGATTGTGGGCCTCCCGAAAGAGGCCAGAGCCGATACTCAGTTCCACCCGCATGAGCCACTCAGCTAGCTTAGAGCTGTTGAGGAAGGCATTATATTTGGCTGCCATGGGCTGTGTATAGATAAAGAGGAAGATGTGGTCATCCTGGGGACCAGCCTCACCTGGGTCTTAACCACAGCCTCAGGGGCCCTCCCCATCAGCCTCTGCAAAGAATTAGGCTGCTACCCACCAAGCCTGAGCAAGGGGTCACAGACTATGTAATAGATGTAGGTGGGGATAGAGGATCCAGAATCCCCCAGGGCCCTTGCTCACTGATCTTCTCACCCCAAGTTCTGAACCACACTGAGAAGGCTCCTGGCCCAGGCAGCTCCCACTTCTCCAGCCTGCGACCTCCCATGAATCCTGCCTTCTTTCAGGGAAACCCCTTATCCCAGGTGTGTATATGTGGATGAGGGGGAGGACTCAGTTTTTTCCCCATGTTTAACCTCCCACTGTGATCAAGCACAGGGGCTAGAATGGGAGGCCTGGCGGGCAGTCTGCCGTGCAGTTTGGCTGCTCACTAAGGCAGTCTACCCTGGAGCTTGGCTTGCACGCAAGATCTTTGGGAAGCCCAAGAGGGGTGAGGTGGTGGGTGAAATGTAAGGGGTGGGGGACGAAGCCTATGACTGAACCCTTGGGGGAGGCCAGGATGAGTTTTTCTCGTGCTGGTCTGCGCTGCAAACAGATCGAAGAGACTAATTTGCATATCGGGCAGAGATCTCTGGCATAGGGAAAAGAACACTGTGTCACCTGGTCAATCCACCAGGATCCCGGATGCCTCCTCCTGGGCATAGCTCTGGCCACTGTCTGATGAGTGTGCAGTGCCCTAGCTGGTGTGCAGGATGGCCAGTGTAGACCCTGGCCAGCGTCTTGAGAGGCAGGACTGGTCACCCTCCCTTTATGTGGCATGTAGAGGCCACATAAATGCCCCACACCCAGGTGTGCCTCGAAAAGCACAGTGGACGCCGCTCAGACCCAGCCAGGAGAGCTGTCCTTCACAGCTGTCTGTCTGGAGCTCTGGGAAAGAGGCAGGGCCAGAAGGACACCCAGGAAGCCAGTGAACATTTCCTGGGGAGTCCAGCAAGAGGAGGAGGCATCGGGGACGCTGGTGGATTGACCAGGAAATGCAGGGCTCTTTTCCCTGTCTCAGGCTCACCCTCCAGCTCCTCCCACACTGAAGAAACTTTGTCAAGCCTGGAGAATTGTGATTCCTCCTGTTTCATAACGTTCTGCGCTTCCTGTTGCCCGCACATTGAGTCCGGGCACCCAGACCTGGCTCCCACAGCCCCCGTGGCAGCTCCACCTGCCTTTCCGGCTTCACCAGCCTATCCTCAAGTGATGGCCCCGCTGGTCACAGAGGAGTTTCACCTCCTGTGAACTAACCCTCCTCCACCCCTCCCCACACCTGCATCATCTCCACCACGGCCACCAAGTCAGCCAGTGAGATTTGGTCCCCAGCGATGAACATCTTGTCCTGTAGAAAATACTCCTCAAAGAGCTGCAGGCTGTTCTTCACCTCCGCCACTGCGTGATCGATCTTCTCAGCTGAAACTTCCTCCCCTGTTATCTTTGGGATCAGCAACTGGCCAGGGTTGGGAAGAGGAGGGAAGAGGAGGCTGCATTCCTGGGCCACATGCCCTGCCAGGGCTCTGTACTCTTGTCAGCTCGATAGCTATTGGACAGAAAGTAGTTTCACCTCTTTTAGCAGTTCTGATTGGTGGAAATTCTGATTGCTGGAAGTTACCACATGTTCACAAGGATTTGGTTAGCCCATCAGGCATAAATCCTGTGATTGATTAGGTGAGGCCTGTCACAGGCATACAATTAGAAGTAGGGACACGTGTACTGGTTGTCATTTTCAAATTTTCTATAGACTCTCTCTCTCTCTCTCTCTTTGAGATGGAGTCTCACTCTGTTGCCCAGGCTGGAGTGCAGTGGCCTGATCTTGGCTCACTGCCAATTTTACCTCCCGAGTTCAAGTGATGCTGCTACCTCAGCCTCCCAAGCAACTGGGATTACAGGTGCACAACACCACATCCGGCTAATTTTTTTTGTATTTTTGGTAGAGACGGGATTTGCCATGTCGGCTAGCCTAGTCTTGAACTCCTGACCTCGAGTGATTCACCCTCCTTGACCTCCCAAAGTACTGGGATTACAGTTCTGAGCCACCGCACCTGCCTGGCCTTCTGTGGGCCCTTTGACTCAGATTCTCTTGTTCAGAATGAAAAACCTGGAATGCTGTCCTGGGTGAGTGACATCAGCCCCTCCTGTATGCCCTTCCCGTTGCCCTAGTAAGACTCTTTCATACCCACTGTTTCAGTCCACACTCCCGACAGCTGTTAGCAGGCAGAAGGAGCTGAGGAAATGAGGCCCAGAGAGGGAGGGAGACTTACTGGAGTTCACCAGCAGCCAGCAGGGCCGGAAGTCATCTCCTGCCTTCCTGACTCCCTTGTCCCCTTGTCCCCAAGCCCCACAAGTGACCCTGCTCACCTTTAGCCAGACTATCCTCTTCATGGGCAGCTGAAAGGCCGTGTGTTGCCAAGCCATGAACTCCTCCACACGGGCACGTGTGTACAGGTCTGGTGGGTACCAGTGTAATGGTGCGCTGTACTTGCGACACAGGTAGTAGAGGATGGCCACGCTGCAGAAGGGGCCAGTCAGGGGCACTGCCCTTGCTTTCCCAAGTCCCCCTACATCAGTCACCCCAGTGTGACCTGGTCCCAACTGCTGGGGCCTCCAGGGAAAGGAGGAGCCCAAACAGCCCTGGGAAAGATCTTCACCAGGGCTGTCTGACAGTCAGCAAGGGCAGGGAGGGAGAACTGCAGGGTGTAGGAGTTGGGGCTGGTGGTAGGGGAAAGAGTAGGCCAGCGAGGGGAGCAGCACGTGCCGAATCAGGATGCTGAGGCGGGAGGATCACTCGAGCCCAGGAGTTTGGGGCTGCAGTGAGCCAAGGTCGCACCACTGCACTCCAGCTTGAGTGAAAGAGCCAGATCCTTTTTCAAAAACAAAAACAAGCTGGACACAGTGGCTCACACCTGTAATCCAGGCACTACGGGAGGCCAAGGTGGGCGGATCACTCGAGGTCAGGAGTTGGAGACCAGCCTGGTCAACATGGTGAAACCCTGTCTCTACTAAAATGAACATAGAAAAATTAGCTGGGTGTGGTGGTGCACACCTGTAGTCCCAGCTACTTGGGAGGCTGAGGCACGAGAGTCACTTGAACCTGGGAGGCAGAGGTTGTAGCGAGCCAAGATTGTGCCACCGCACTCCAGCCTGGACCACAGAGGGAGACTGTGTCTCTAAAAACAGGCAAAGAAAAACACATGCTGAAATCCAGGGTAAGGGGAGCAAGGTGAATTTGAAGAAAGGAGAGCAGGTGGGTGCGGCTGGAAGAAGGTCGGGGTGACTGGGGAGTGGTGAGACAGACACTGTGGAGGCCACGGATGATGGCCCCTGGAGAAGCAGGGAGGTTACGGACTTAATCCTGAAGATTAGGCGTTATGTAAGCCAGGGCATGAAGGATCCACCTCTCTGGTGCGGGATGGAGGGTGAGCCCGAGGGGGCAGAATGGACAACAGGGAGGCCAGCAGCTACGGGGAAGGTTGTGGTGTGTGGGAAGGGTGGGGGCCATGGGACAGAGGGAAGGGGACGGAGGGAGACACGCATCAGAGTGAGGGAAGGGGACGGAGGGAGACACGCATCGGGGTGAGGGAAGGGGACGGAGGGAGACACGCATCGGGGTGAGGGAAGGGGACGGAGGGAGACCTGCTTTAGAGGGGACGTCCTAGGACTTGCTGATTGACGGCTGCCATGGGACTGTCCACAGGACAAGGGTTCCTTTATCATCATCACAGCGGCCGTGCAAGGTGAAAAGTCAGGGTATGGAGAGAGCAATGGATTTAAAGTGGAGCAGACACAGCAACCAGCTGCGAGACTCAGATCTCCTTTGGACCTGCTCCAAACAAACCGCCAAGAAAATATTCAGGAGAGGATCAGAGTTTTGAACAGGCGCCAGATATTAGACGAAACCTAGGACTTACTGTTAATTGTATTAGGTATCTTGATGGTATCGTAGTGATGCTACGCTCTATGATAACCCAGGCTGGAGTGCAGTGGTGCAATCAGAGATCACTGTTGTCTTGAACTTCTGGCCTCAAGCGATCCTCCCATGCCAGCCTCTCAAAGTGCTGAGATTACAGGCATGAGCCACCATGCCCAGCCTGTTTTTTTTTTTTTTTTTTTTTTTAAGTCTTGTTCTGTTGCCCAGGCTGGAGTGCAGTGGCACCATCTCGGCTTACCGCCACCTCCGCCTCTGGGATTCAAGCAGTTCTCCTGCCTCAGCCTCTCGAGTAGCTGGGATTTCAGGCATGCGCCACCAGGCCCAGATAATTATGTATTTTTAGTAGAGAGGGGGTTTCTCCATGTTGATCAGGCTGGTCTCAAACTCCCAACCTCAGGCAATCCTCCGACCTCAGACTCCCAAAGTGCGTGTATCACAGGGATGAGCCACCTCGCCCGGCCTTTTTTTTTTTTTTTTTTAAGAACCCTTACCTCTTAGAGGTATGTTTCTAACATTTGTTGATTTATTTGCTTACTTATTTTTATTTTTTGAGATGGAGTCTCACTCTGTCGCTCAGGCTGGAGTGCAGTGACGTAACCGTGGCTCACTGCAACCTCCGCCTAAGCAATCCTTCCACCTCAGCCTCCTGAGTGACTGGGACCACAGGTGCGGGCCACCATGCTGGCTACATTTTGTATATTTTGTAGAGATGGGGTTGTGCCATGTTGTTCAGGCTAGGTTGGTCTTGAACTCCTGAGCTCAGGCCATCCACCCGCTTCAGCCTCCCAAAGTACTGAATTATAGACATGAGCTGGCCCCTAGACATTATGAAATGATGGGGTGTCAAAGGCAGAACTGATGTAAAATAGACCCCAAGTTGGCAGCTGGGCGGTGGGTTTGCGGGGTTCATCATGACTCTCGTTAGTCAGCATTCATTCCACTTTAGTGTGCGTGTGAGATTTTCCGTGGTAAACAGGGAGATGCTCCCACGAAGTCTCCCAGGAGGAGCAGAGACAGTGCAAGGGCCCTGGGGAAGACTCACCTTTCAGTTAAGACAAATTTCCCGTCTTTGAGGCTGGGCAGCTTCCTGAGGGGGTTGATGTCAATGTATTCTTTACTGTGGTGGTGACCTGGGAGGAGCAGGGAAGGTCTGAGGCTGTGGGACTCCAGGGGAGAGAGAACTGAGACTCCTAGAGACACAAATGCCTCCCTCTTTTCTCAAGAAGAGGGAACTGGCCGGGCGCGGTGGCTCAAGCCTGTAATCCCAGCACTTTGGGAGGCCGAGGCGGGTGGATCACGAGGTCAAGAGATTGAGACCATCCTGGTCAACATGGTGAAACCCCGTCTCTATTAAAAATACAAAAAATTAGCTGGGCATGGTGGTGCGTGCCTGTGACCCCAGCTACTCAGGAGGCTGAGGCAGGAGAATTGCCTGAACCCGGGAGGCGGAGGTTGCGGTGAGCGGAGATCCATCTCAAAAAAAAAAGAAGAGAGAACTGAGGCCTGCAGGGACACTGTGGCTCACCCCAGGTCACAGGGCAAGGCCGTGGCAGAACCAGACTGGGATAAGAACTGCTGGCTCCCAGCCTGCCCCACCCTAGGGCTGGTGACTCCCGTGCCTCCTACCTGTGTCCCAGGACCAGGATGACCCTTTGGCCCAGAAGCTGGAGGCCTCCAGTGCCCACCCACAAAGCAGGATCTGCAGCCACAGCCTCTGAATCACCTGAAGCCCCGAGGGTCTGGGTCCCAGCCCCGCTCCCATCTCCCTCACTCTGTCTTCACTTTAAGGAAGCCGGGTCCAGCACATGGCTGGACATCCGCAGGGGAGCCTTTCAGAATCAATTGGGGTTGTCTGAATGGGGAATCTGATGTGGGGGCAGGAACTGAAGCTCTTCCTGGACCAGCTGCCTCCTGTTGGAAACATTTCCAGGGCTCCACTCGCACCCTGGCAGGCAGGTGCTGCGTTCACAAGGTCCTAGACTCCCACCAGGAAGTGAGGGCGCCTGGTGGGAGCCCAGGGAGTCCCAGCCGCTCTTCCTTCCCCCTTCCCCTAGAAGAGCCTGTTCATATCCGGCATAAAGACTGTCATTAGTGGGGACTGGCTAAGGTAGGCTGGACAGGGACGCAGCCTACAAGCCCCCGGGCTTCTCTTCCTTCCCCGTGGACCTCTCGGGGGACTCCCTTGTCTCTGCCTCTGCTTCTCAGAAACGCCCCAATCAGGCTGGGCATGGTGCCCTCACGCCTGTAATCCCAGCACTTGGAGGCTGAGTTGGGCTGATCACTTGAGGTCAGGAGTTCAAGACCAGCCTGGCCAACATGGAGAAACTCCATCCCTTCTAAAAATACAAAAAATTAGCCGGGCATGGTGGTGTACACCAGTCATCCCAGCTACCAGGGGGCTGAGCTGGGAGAATCATTTGAACCCATTGGAGGTTACAATGAACCAAAATAGCACCACTGCATTACAACCAGGGCAACTGAGTGAGACTCTTCCAAAAATAAATAAATAAATAAATAAATAAAATAAAGGGGAAAAATAAGCCCCAAGCTGTGTGCCCTGCCTCCCCCCAGGACCAGGCCTGCTGGGCAGCAGTGGAAGCTGACCTTTCAGCAGATCCACAAACTGAAAGGTGAACGAGATGTCATGCTTCTTTGAAAAGATGTAGACGGCCCTGCAGGGTGCTGACAGCAGGTCCATGTAGAGCTCCAGGGCCATGTTGAGACGATGCCAGGCGCCACAGCTGCAGCCGGCCAGCGGCAGACCTGGGCCTGTGTCTAGCCAGGGCCCCTGGCTCTGTGCCCTCTCCGATCTGGCCCCAGGACCCTGTATTCTGGAACTTCTTGTTTCCCTTTGCGCTGTCATAAGGCCAGGGAACCTTCAGTTCTCACAAGGCCAGGGAACCTGCAACTCTCACAGCAGCAAGCATTCTAAGGAGGCTCAGGAGTAGGCTGGGGAGAGGCCCGTGGCAAAGGTGGGGCAGCTGTGACCCTCCTCTCCCCCGCCACGAGTGTCTGTGCCCCGTGGCGCCCCCCTCACAGACACCCTGTCTGAGAAAGGATTATGCATGGGAATTCCCAGGGCCTGACTTTCCTTGCAGAACCTGATGAAAGGGGCTTTGCAGGGTGTAGAATGAGCAAGAGGCAATGAGAATCATCCCTGGAGGATTCTAGAAGTAGGGACTGGGTCTACCCACAGGTGAATCGAGCAGGAAGTATGGCTAGAAAGGAATTGGGAGAAAGAGACACAGGAGCCTGGCAGCTTTGGGAGCAGAGGGGACACCACCACCAGGAAGTCAGGGGGCACCGGGCAGTAAAAATCACAGATGCAATAAAACTTTGTACAGATTGTTGTATAATGTACAACAATGTATAGAAATACACCCCCCATACATTATTGCTCCAACTCTAGGACTATCTATTACCGAACTCAAAAGAATCCCTCTCCCCACACTCCACTCTCTATAATTAATCTTAACATAAGCCTCCTGTTCATATCAGCCACATCGAGCCTAGCGGTCTATCCTTTGATCAGGATGAGCGTCTAATTCAAAAAATGCACTAATCGGTGCACTAGGCAGAGTGGCCCGAACAATCTCACATGAAGTCACTGTAGCTATTATCCTCCCGTCAGTCCTATTAATAAGTGGTTAGGAGCGTGGTGGCTCACGCTTGTAATCCCAGCACTTTGGGAGGCCGAGGCGGGCAGATCACAAGGTCAGGAGTTCGAGACCAGCTTGTCCAATATGGTGAAACTTTGTATCCATTATAAAATACAAAAATTAGCCAGGCGTGGTGGTACATGCCTGTAGTTCCAGCTACGTGGGAGGCTGAGGCAGGAGAATCGCTTGAACCCATGAGGCGGAGGTTGTGGTGAGCCAAGATCACGCCACTACATTCCAGCTTGGGCGACAGACTGAGACTCTGTCTCAAATAAATAAATAAATAAATAAATAAATAAATAAAGTGGTTTGTCTAATTTGTATATAATCCTCAGAACGTAAGAATTTCTCTGCCTGCTCCTACCATCATGACCTCTGGTATGATTTATTTCCACACTGGCAGAAACCACCCTACCTCCCAGAGGCGGAATCAGAATTTTTTTTGGGCTTTAATATCGAATGTGCCACAGGCCCCTTTGCCCTGTTATTTATAGCAGAGTATATAAATATCATTATGATAAATGCCCTGAGGGCCATGAGAGCTTTGACGCTGCAGCACACAGGAGATCATGTCTAGGGGCAGGAGCTGCAGCGAGACCCCAGGCCTGGCCACGCCCGCCCTCATGGAGTGGTGCTCAGCAAAGGCGTGCAGCTCCCACTCACCCCACCGGGGACTACAGCATGACCCCCAACTCACCCCCCACCTCCCTCAGCAAGCTCTTCAGTACCACCCCGGGAGGTGCCAGGATCATCAATGACCGTAAATTCCTGATGGAGTGTCGGAACTCACCTGTGACCAAAACACCCTGGAGGCATCTGCCCGCCATTCCCGGGGTCACCAGCCCTGCCACTGATGAACCCCCCATGGAAGCCGGCCAGAACCACCTGCGTAATAGCCTAGCAGATACCACCTGTGTAATAGCCTAGCAGAACCACCTGCGTAATAGCCTAGCGGGCGGTGAAGAGTCACAGTTTGAGATGGGCATTTAAAGCACCAGCCATCATATGGAGAGCTGCTAAGGGGCCCCTCTAGCACTTCCCTGGAGGAGTCCCACCAGCCAGGCCACATGAAAGTGATCATCCTGGGCAGGTGTGGCGTGGGGTCAGCCACCCCAGCCTTCTCCCTCTCACTCAGGGCGCCTGTCCCCTCCTCTCTGTGAACACCAGCAGGTACCTCCTTATGCTCCTGCTGCAGGAGCTGCCACCCCAAGGAGAGTGACCCCTGCCAGCACACCCTGCAGCCCAGGGCCTGAAGCGGACAAGAACGAACCCTTCCTTCTGAAAGATCTGATTGGCTCTTCCAGCCCCTTGCTGCTGGGGGCAACCATCCCTCCCTTAGGTTGATGTGCCTGGGAAAGCTCCCCTCCCGCTTCTTCCCCAAGAGAGGAAATCAAATGTTGGGGGCTGGTGTCTTGTCATCTATCATGTAGGCATCTACACACATCCATCTTCCACGTGTCTTGCTCAGTCTGTAGGAGGAGAATGGGTTGCAAAATATCTGATATAGGATGCCTGCAGTCTGGCCTTGGCATGTATGTTGGTTTTGCCATGTGACCAGATCATCCAGATATTTAGTCTACCTATATGTAATGTCCGGTGTTTGGCAGCCTAATGAAGAGAGCAGATGCGCTATCCCATGTTACACAAGGGTGGCTTGTGCGGTTACCATAACATCTGGTGATTTGGCAAGCATTTGTACCACCAGAGTCAGTGCCAGAACCTTTTATCACCTTCATGGGAGGCTTGAGGATGCCACCTGTGGAACCAAATCACAGGATTCAACTGTAATATCCTCTTGCTGTGTCACTAATATATCATTTAGCACCATACCTGTTTTTAAAACAAAGGGAAAATTTCCTTTTCGTTTTTTGAGACAAGGTGTTGCTCTGTTGCCCAGGCTGGAGTGCAGTGGTGTGACCATGGCTCACTGCAACCTCCACCTCCTGGGGTCAAGCGATTCTTCCACCTCAGCCTCCTGAGTAGCTGGGACCACAGGCATGCACCACCACACCCTACTAATTTTTTTGTACAGACAGGGTTTCACCATATTGCCCAGGCTGGTCTCAAACTCCTGAGCTCCAGCGATCCACCCACCTCCACCTCTCAAAGTGCTGGGATTATAGGGGTGAGCCACTGCGCACGGTAGATTTCCTTCTAATGACTACCTGAGCATAGGACAGTCTTTGAGGTTCCATAGAGGTTTGTCCATGTCCAATTAATCTACCAAAAAAAGAAGTAATGTTGTTTTCTCAGTTGTAGATGTCACAAGCTGTCACGTACCCATTTTTCATAGTGGACCCACCGAGTCCTAGCGTTGGTAGGAATGAAAATTGGTTCAAGTTCTTCAGCATGATCTGGATGTTGACATAACCAGCAGTCAGATTGATTAAAGTAGACAGGATTTGGAGAGTTGGTGTAACAGGGCATCAGTTCTGTTTCTGACCTGTTGAGAAAACAGTAAGGGTTACTAAGAATGAGGCACAGTCTGAAAGAGAACCCAGAGTGGAGATCCGAGGGACAATCATAGGACAGAATTGAGACAAGCAATCTCCAGTCAGCTTTTTAATAAATAAATGGGCCGGGCGCGGTGGCTCAAGCCTGTAATCCCAGCACTTTGGGAGGCCGAGGCGGGTGGATCACGAGGTCAAGAGATCGAGACCATCCTGGTCAATATGGTGAAACCCCGTCTCTACTAAAAAAAAAAACAAAAAAGTAGCTGGGCATGGTGGCACATGCCTGTAATCCGAACTACCCAGGAGGCTGAGGCAGGAGAATTGCCTGAACCCAGGAGGCGGAGGTTGCGGTGAGCCGAGATCGCGCCATTGCACTCCAGCCTGGGTAACAAGAGCGAAACTCCGTCTCAATAAATAAATAAATAAATAAATGGCCAGAGAAAGAGGAGGATTCATTAAAAGGAAGAGGCTCTTCTGTTTTCTGCTTTTTGGACAAGGAGTCCCAATGTGAGAAAATGGGTGGAAGTGAAGTTTCTTGATCCATGATCTTGAGAAAAGCTGTCTACTATAAAATGCCATCTGCTTCTGGGGCCTGGGAATCGGTTTGGGAAGTCATTATTTTAAGGTCCCCTGTAGGGAGGGTCTTCCACAGTTGTCCTCAGAGTGCTGATCTGGGTCTAGCTTGGTTCGATTCACATGAATTCAGGAGGGCTTTTCCCTAACTTGATGGCAGCGTAGGTGGTTAGCAGTACCGTCATGCATTGCTAATGACAGGGATACATTCTGACAAATGCATCATTGGGCAGTTTTGTCACTGTGCAGACATCACAGAGTGTACTCACACAAAGCTAGATGACATAACCTACCACACACCTAAGCTATGTTGTGTAGTCCACTTGCTCCCAGTAGGATTTATCACAAAAGGTTACTGCCCAGTGCATTTTTTCAAACAATAACAATTCACTGAGAGTATTAACATTCACATACATAATTATCGTTTACAAATGTACCAAACTTTGGGTAACAAACACTTTAAGCTTGTTTTTTAGACATTCAATAAGCCCCTTTCCCCTCCCCACAGACTGTTTGATTACAAAGAAGTACAAAGGGTTAACTGTGGCAAAACATAAGAAATAAGGCAGGGGAGGCAGATGCAGACTTGGGAACATAATATCCAAACGATTTTGTCAATATCAAAAGATATTTTATAATATAAAACAAATCCATATAATTAAATACTAATTAGGTGAAATAACATTATAGGATATATAACATTTATTTTCTCTACATAAACTTGCATATCTTAAATTTATTTATTTTTATTTTATTTTTTCCTGAGATGGAGTCTCACTCTGTCCCCCAGGCTGGAGTGCAGAGGCAGGATCTTGGCTCACTGCAACCTCTGACTTCTGGGTTCAAGCAATTCTCCTGCCTCAGCCTCCTGAGTAGCTAGGATTACAGGTGTGCGCCACCACACCTGGCTAATTTTTGTATTTTTAGTAGAGACAGGGTTTCACTATGTTGGCCAGGCCGGTCTCAAACTCCTGACTTTGTGATCCAACCGCCTTGGCCTCCCAAAGTGCTGGGATTACAGGCGTGAGCCACCGCGCCCAGCTGCATGTCTTAAATTTAATGTGAAACATCATGTTTCAATGTCAGCTTAAGAATATCATAACGTGTTTCTTGGTGAATCT